CCTTTGAAGTCTAATATCTGCTACTAGAAATTTCTATTGGAAATGGCACCCAAAATTAGAATACACCATTCAATGTTGAATAAAATCAAATGAGCATGAACCTAATAGTACTTTATTATTTCATCTAATACATAACTGAGAAGCAATATAGCCTAAGTAACAAAAAATATGAATATAAGAGATTTTTTCTAAGATCTTGGAAGTGTACAGATTTCCAAAGTTTTAATTTTTTTCTAGATATGATTTCTACAAATTTCACATTTTTTTAGGTCACACCAGAGGTTCTCAAAATGTATTGGAGAAATGAACCTTATAGTACTTCAAAACTTCTTCAAACGCATAGTTAGGAAATAATTTAGCCTATGTAAAAAAATGAAAATGGCGCCCAATTGCTTTGTACTTGTTTTGAACTATTGTATGTCATTGTTTTTTATATTATACACCTAAAACATAGCTAAAAATCAATTTAGCCTAAGTGATAAAAATTGAAAAATTAAAAAAAGATGGCTTACCTTCAATATAGAATATTCCACGCAAATCCGAAAATACTATTCTAAAAAGCACTACACAATTGTTTTTGCTGTTATGAGTGATAATATTTCGTTTTTTATGTTAAAAAATAGTTTTAAAAAAATTACACTTCTTTATGGGAAAGTTGTTACTTTCATGCAGTTCGTTTGCTGTCGTTGTTGTTGTTGAAGTTGTCGTAATTTGAAGTTGTCATTTGTATTACACTTTTTCGTATAACTGAGGATGCTGTTGCTGGGGCAACTGATATTGGTGTTGTTGTTGTTGCTGTAGCTGATGCTGATGTTGCACATATTTCCACACATGGGGGCAACACTTGTGGGGGGGCATTGATATATTAATCTCCATTTTGTGTGTATCTTTGTTAAATCTTTGTGAATTCGATACTGACAAATATAATGACAACAACAACAAAAACAAGTAGCAGTAGAAGTTGTTGGTGCTGTTGTCGTTGTTGTTACTGTAGACATCAAGAAGACGTGTGCTTTAAGGCAATTTATCAACATGAGATTTGTTGTACGTATCGAACTTAAAGTTGGCCCGTCGCAACGGAACACAAAACTTAATTTGCAATTTACTTGATAAATTGATAAATTTCACATTTTTTTGTTGTTGTTGTTTTCGTTACATATCCATTTGGTTACACTTTCTTGGGTTTTGAAAAAATGCCGACATGCATTAATTTGTATTTTGTTGTTGTATATTATTACGAGGTAACACTCAGTACCAGCCAGAAGTTAAACACCCCCTCATTTTTCAACACTGGAAATTGAAATATTTCATTTAATTTCATGGAGAGGGATCCGAAGAAAGAGAGACTTTGCTTTTTTCACACGCACAATAATTGATGACGACTTTTTCAATTGAAATAAATATTTTTTTACTTGGATTATTTGGAAATTTATTTCCCATTCAATTTTTATATTCTTTTTCACTATTTTTTCTCTTTTTTGAATTGCGGATTTTACAAAGCTTTACAGGTGATCATGATTAATTATGGGCACATAAATAAGGTAGCCACAAAAAGAGAGGACGAACATACACTGACCGAACGCCCCCATTGTAGAGAAGAGGGGTTAGGGAGCTCATCACATAATCATGACTTTTTCATGATTTCCTCAAAAGTGAAATCAAAACACAAATAGAATGCTTATCTATTCTTTCTTCTCCACTATTTTTCTTTTTTTTCGGTTGATTTTCTGACGTTTTACTAGACACAATTACTCACAACCCGCAAATGAAAATGAAAGTGAAAAACGCGACTTGATATTATTTTTATAATAAATGCCTTTTTTAGGCAAATACCCGTCGTTTTTATTTTTCTTCTTCGAGTTCGTCTGAAGCAACAAATATCAACTGAAATTAAAAATAGTACGCTTTTTTCCAACAACCACACACAGAGATTTACAAAATAATAAAACAGAAAGAACAACAAAAAATTCTTCAATTTTTTTATGACGCCGTTCGAGTTTAGTACGCGGCGACAAATAAACAATCATCATCAACAAAAAATGACAGTAATTCTGTAAGAGTACTAACACACACATTAGTGTGTATAAGTATGCGTGTGGTCATTCATCATAATAGCACATAAGTAGGTACGCTACAATATGTACTACTTACACAGTACATGTATGTATGGAAGTGTGTGTGTATGTGCGCGCGAGAGAAAGAGCGGTAAGTTTTCTTCGTTTTTTTTTTAATGACAAAGCACACACAGATACGCACATGATCAGCCCCCAATGTAAATGCCAAAAGAATTTTATACAGAGAGTGTGTAGAAAAAGTCTCTGGTACAGAAGCTTTTTTCAAAGGGTCCCCTAAAGATAGAACTTCCCTAGACCTAGTGAAAATAATTTATAGTCCGTTAAAATCCGTTTTAAGTACGAAAGTAGCCTAAATGAAAATGGCGACCAACGTTTCAATTGTATAGAGAGCGTAAGAATATAAGAATTTGTAAAACTTTTCTTTTAAACGACAAATCACACACTACTGATACGCACATGATCAGTCCCCAATGTAAATGCCGAAAGCATTTTATACAGAGAGTGCATAGAAGAAGTCTTTGGTGTAGAAGATTTTTTTTTTTCAAAGTACCTTTCTAAAGATAGAACTTCCCTAGACCAAGTAAAATTACTTTAAAGTCCTTTAAAATCCGTTTAGAGTCCGAAAATGAAAATGGCGCCCAACGTTTCAATTGTACAGATAGCTAAAAAATTCTCTACTATAGAAGAATATTAGAATTTGTAAAATTCCTCTTTTAAACGACAAATCACACACTACTGATACGTACATGATCACCCCCATTGTAGCCCCTAAAAAAATTTATACAGAGAGAGTATAGAAAAAGTCTCTGATGTAGAAGATTTTTATGGCGGCTCTCTGAAGATAGAACTTCCCTAGACCTAGTAAAAATGGTTTAAAATCCATTTAAAGTCCAAAAGCAGTCTAAAGAGGGCGTAAAATATCTTCTGCTATAGAAGAAAATAAGAATTTGTAAATGTCCTCTTTTAAACGACAAAGCACACACTGATACGCACATGATCTGCCCCAATGTAGACCCCAAAAAATAAATTATACAGAGAGTGTAAAAAAATAATCTGTTATAGAATATTTTAAAAATATAAAGGTCTCCCAAGTATAGAAAAAGGGGTGGGAAAGTAGGTTAAATCAAAATGGCGCCCAACCTTACAATTATACAGAGAGTGTAAAGAATCCTCAGCGATAAAAGTCATCTGTAAGTAAAGTGTATCTAGGTCTAGCGCGGAGTATTATTGAGTATGTTCCTAGTCGAATGTAGCTTAAATGAAAATGGCGCCCAACGTTACTATTTCACACCTTATACCTAGCTAAAAATTAAGTTAGGCGAGCATTCCAGATCCATATAAGAATATTCAATAAGGGTCAAAAAATATTAAATGACAGTCAAAATGGCGTCCAACGCATCCTAAGTGATAAAAAAGATAATGGCGAAAATGAAGCCATGACTTAATGCCTAACTAAAAAGGAATTCAGGAAGATTTGCTACTCAATGATAACCCGTATCACAAAGTAATTGCCAATGTGCTTTGAAAAAAGTACCCAAAAATCTAAAATTGGCACCCAACACCGAAACTTGGACTAATATATCACACTTTCTTAAATATTGCAAGCTGCACATAATTTCAACAGACCTAGAAACATAATTAAATCAACATAGGATTTTATTCTGATCTGCGGTCTCCGGTGGATACTTCGACGTGTAACACAAAAACTTGCGGCCAACGTGAAATTTTATACACCTAGTATGCTGCTACAAAGTCATTTTTCCTAATATTAAAAATGATAATGGCGCCCAAACAAAAGCCTAAAAAGACTACAAAACAACTTCCATAATTGTCTATATAATTTTCAATAGGAAATTTTTCAAAACGCCCAGCTAAAACATTTCAGCTTAAATAATCAAAATGGCGCCCAATTTTTCCAAATAGACAAGATACCAATTGTCTAGACATTTTTTATTCACCTAGTATGCCACGAAAAAGCTATGTAGCCGAAGTAGTAAAATTAAACATGGCGCCCAACATAAAAAAGGATGCCTCAAACTGTTTCTATAATTTTTTTATTTCTAATGGAGATGTTTCCCATAGAAAGTCAACGTTCATAGGAATACGTAAAATTTATGGCGCCCAACGTTAAAAGGAAGTCTCAAAGACCTACGAAACATGGACCTCCTCTTTTTCTATTTGTTATATTTTAAATATTTTATAAATTCCATCCTTCAAACCCACTCAATGACTCCCACTGTATACGAACGACATGCCATCAACTTTAGTCATAATAATATTTTTGGTTATGGTGGAGAACTTATTCAGCACTACCACTACTAAGCGCAGGGGCTTGATTGTCTGTTTGACACAAAGCCCATCAAAGAAGAGAGATAGAGAGAGAGAGAGTAACAGTGCAAACAGCCACAATAGGAGACAATAAAGTTGACTATTTTTTACAAAACAGATGATGAGTACTACACTACGAACACAGGCACACACACAAACACATCAACAACAACCCAGTAAACAATTTTTGCCGAATTCGGTCCGATTTCTGTCAGAATCTCTGAAAAAATGTCCGATTCTGATTCCGAATTCCTTCCGATTTCGGTACGAAAGTTGTATGGACGTGGTCACCGAATTCGGAAAGATTTTCTGAAAAAAATCTGAAAAAATATTAGATTTTCTGAACGAATTCGGTCCGAATTCGGTGAAAAAATAGGAGAAAAAATTAGATTTTCGGAAAAGATTCGGAGGACAACTCCGAATTTCTGAAAGAAATCGGGCAGAATTCGAAAGAAAATTCGGAATAAAAATCAGATTTTCTGAAAAAAACGCTCTGAATTCGGGAGAAAGTTCCGATTTTCTGAAAGAAATCGTTCAGAATTCGGAAGAAATATCGAAAAAATCGTCACACCACTTAAAAATGAAAAAAAACACATATTTATTTAAAAAACAAACAATTTATTATTATTTATATTATTTATATTTATTAGTTGAACAGATAACAGATAATTCAATTATTTGTTGTTATTATATACATATATAATTTTTGTAATTCAATGTATCTTTTTAAAATAAAAATAAAATTAATTCAGTCTTTCAATAATTTGTGTCGTGTACAGTGACCAAAAAAAAAATCCGTACACCCCTAGTATTTTTTTGAAGTTTATTTTCAAATATTAGAAGTGTACAATTAATTTTTTGAGTCCCTGTATAATAAAAACAATATAATACACAGGACTATTTAAATTTTTTACGATTCAGATTTTTCCGATTCAGATTTGTCCGATTGAGATTTTTTCGATTCTGCTTTTCTTTTTCGTTTGTTTTGGCGGTCTTTAGCCGAATTAAAGAAATTCTTAATATGAAATTCTATCGTACTTGCAGCAGTGCCCGGGATATGATCTATTGCTGTATCTATATAACAATTAAAGTACATACATATGTACATGTAATCTAACTTATCCATAATCTTAAATAGCGAATACAAACCTCTTATAAGCTTGATGTAATGCATATCTTTTACAGGTATATTTCTGTTGGCACTATTCCATGAAAATCGTGTGATAATTTCGTCCGTCTGGAAAACTAGTTTTAGATTTTCTTGAACAAATTTCCTTATATCGTCATGGGGTTGTGCTTTTATACGTTGAATCTGTAGATAAATATTGATTTGAGTACATACCTATTAAAGAAATGTGGGTTAGAAACTTACCAGTTTGTTTTTCAGTTCGCAATTATCCTTCAGTCTTCTTTCGAAGTCTAATACTTCTGTAATAAACAATTTTGTTTGTTTTTTAATTTTAAACACCTTCTGGAAATTTTTAATTCACTTTTTGAACACTTCTTGTAAACACTTTAATTCAACTATACCGAAGCACGTTTCTCTTTCAACTGCTAAACAAGAACTAAAAATAAAAAGCAGTGCACACAGAAAACCGGTATGTAGTTGTTTTTGCAATTTTTTTCCATCATATTTTTTTGGGAACGAAAGAGAAAGAGGCTGATTCACAACAACAACAAAACGCACATTTTTACAACGGAAAATCTAACAGTTCACAATAACAATAACAAATAGCATTTTTGCTTTGCGCTTTGTTGTTGTTGAGATCTTGAAATGAATGATCACAACAACAACTACTATGGGAGAGAATGTGTCAAACCACCACCATCCGTTTACATGTGGGAGAGAATATGCCAGAGCAATACACAATCTACTCTCTCCGTTTGTACATTTTTCGAGTTTTTTTCGCTTAAAAACACAGGAAAATGTGCAGAAATTCTAAAAAAAAACGTTTAGAAAATCGGACCAATTTCTATCAGAAATTTCTGAAAAAAACGTCAGAAATTTCGGAAAAAAATCTAAAATCAGAGCAGTCGGAAAAAATTGTTTACTGGGAAACGCCTAATGTAATTATGTGAGGGTGTTGTGTAAATTATTATTCTTATTATGCATTCATTCATACATACATAAAAAATATTACTCATACTTATTCCATAAGGAAGGAAATGTAAAGCGATCACAAAAGAGAAGTAAAAAAAAAACAATCCTGGCTATTCAGCAAAAAATGACAGATGTCATCCGTTGGAAGTTAAGTTCAGAGTCACACATTAAAAGATTCGTGTGAATGAAAACTCTATTAAAAATTTAGAAATGTGAAGAATAAGGTTTTTCATAGGAAATCTTCAATTCAGCCTGTCTGAATAAGTTTTTCTATAGGAAATTTTCAATTTAGCTTGGCTGAATAAGGTTTTCTATAGGAAAACTTCAATTCAGCCTGGCTGAATAAGGTTTTCTATAGGAAATCTTCAATTCAGCCTGGCTGAATGGCTGAATAAAGCCTGGCTGAATAAGGTTTTCTATAGGAAATCTTCAATTCAGCCTGGCTGAATAAGGTTTTCTATAGGAAATCTTCAATTCAGCCTGGCTGAATAAGGTTTTCTATAGGAAATCTTCAATTTAGCCTGGCTGAATAAGGTTTTCTATTGGAAATCTTCAATTTAGCTTGGCTGAATAAGGTTTTCTATGAGAAAATTTCAATTCAGCCTGGCTGAATAAGGTTTTCTGTAAAAAATCTTCATTCAGCCTGGCTGAATAAGGTTTTCTGTAAAAAATCTTCATTCAGCCTGGCTGAATAAGGTTTTCTATAGGAAATCTTCAATTCAGCCTTGCTGAATAAAGTTTTCTATAGGAAATCATCAATTCAGCCTGGCTGAATAAGGTTTTCTATAGGAAATCTTACATTCAGCCTGGCAGAATAAGCTTTTCTATAGGAGAACATGAATTCAGCCTGGCTGAATAAGGTTTTCTATAGGAAATCTTGAATTCAGCTTAATGGAATACACACTTTTCTACTGAAAATGTACTCACCCACCTATAAAAACTTGAAACTGCCAATGATTTTTTCAATGCATTCAATAATCATAACTCGTTAATTGAATTATGTGCTTCATTGCATAAAAATGTGTTGAGATATAAAATTAAAAAAATTCCCATATATATCGATAGGAAACTAGATATATTAAAAACAAGCAACTGCCCTCCCCCTCTCTGACTGTATCCGACAAAAAACATTGCTGTTAGCTTAAAATGAAAGTTGTATCTAAAAATAGTACAAAAATCTGAGGTTTTTTCTGCAACTTTTTTGCAAAGTCTGTTAAGTGCGGCAACATTAGTGTAAATTACTTATAAATGATAGTTATTAATAAATGTATGTGTGTGTGTAATCCACACACAATTACCGTAACATTTTTAGATATGTAATAGAAGAAAAAACGGCATTACTTGTTGCCAACTACTTTTAATGCCACATTTTTTTGCCGCATTTTTGTAGCTGACTAGCCGGCTGGCTGAATGGCGGCTTGGTGGAATGGATTGGCTTGGCTGAATTGAATTGTCTGGATATCGAGGTAGAGTAGTAGCAGTACCTAACCACAATTTGTTGCTGTTGCTGCATTTAATTGCTTAAAAAATGTGGTTTACATTGAGCTCATATCGATTATCGTTTGACGTTGATCTGTTTTAAACGATTGTCAGCAGTTACAGCCGCTACCACTACTAAGGCAATCACACATATTTATAAGTTAACATAATGGCTATAAATAAACATTTTGAAAATTTTTATTTTTTTCTTATTCGTTCAAATAAGTTAACAGTTAAATGTCAACGGGGGTTTACAAAACAATAGTTCTTTTTAATTATAGATAATTTCAAAAAATTGTGGGAAAAACACCTAGGGACTTTCCAAGATATTATGTTTCAATAATTTACTTCAATATTGAAAAGTATGTCAAGGAAAAACTTCAATTCAGCTAACTGAATATGGTTTTCTTTAAGAAATTTTCAATTCAGCCTGGCTGAATAAGGTTTCCTATAAGAAATCTTCAAGTCAGGCTGGCCGAATAATGTTTCCTATAGGATATCTTCAATTCAGCCAGACAGAATAAGGTTTCCAATAAGAAATTCTCAATTCAGCCTGGCTGAATAAGGTTTCCAATGGGAAATCTTAAATTCAGCCTGGCTGAATAAGGTTTTTTATAAGAAATCTTCAATTCAGTCTGGCTGAATAAGGTTTCCTATAGGATATCTTCAATTCAGCCTGTCTGAATAAGGTTTCCTATAGGAAATCTTCAATTCAGCCTGACTGAATAAGGTTTCCAATAAGAAAGCAGAATAAGTTTTCCAATAGGCAATCTTCTATTCAGCCTGGCTTAATAAGGTTTCCTATAGGAAATCTTCAATTCAGCCTGGCTGAATAAGGTTTCCAATAGGAAAGTCTCAATTCAGCCTGGCTGAATAAGGTTTCCAATAGGAAAGTCTCAATTCAGCCTGGCTGAATAAGGTTTTCTATAGGAAGTCTTCAATTCAGCCTAGCTGAATAATGTTTCCTATAGGAAATCTTTAATTTAGCCTGGCTGTATTCGAATCTACATGTCTTTTTGGAATAATCACAATATGAAGCGTCTAAATGTCTGTTGTAAATAGAATTACGTACTTAAATTCCGCAGGTGAAACAACAACAATAATGATTATAACCATAACAACAAGCTAATACCAGAAAATAAACTAGATTTGTTATAAACAATGTCTACCGAATGACAATTCGATAAATGATAATCGCGATGGAATGAAACAAAAAATATCTTTCTTTCCCGCCATGCAGCGGCGTGGCAATGTATGGAGGCTGGTTTTGCTTCCTTCTATTGCTGCTGCTCTCGCTCCTGCCTTGTCGGGTTGTTGGTATTCCATGATCGACGCATGGACATTAAATGTTTTCACAAACAGCGGAATATTTCAAAAATTTATTTGTAATGGTCAACAATGATTATGAATATCTACATGTTTAGCGGACCGGTGGACGGAATACCGGACGGACGAACTGACGGCATGCATGCATGCCAAGAATGAGATTGAATATCAATCATCATGGGCAATGATGATGTTAATAAGTCATTTCAATAGAATTCCTATTATAATTAGCTATTAAATTATTATTGTTGAATGAAAACATGCTAAATTATTTTAAATTATCAAAACAACAAAGTTAGTTGCGCTGAATTAGGGTTACTATTGAAAGTCTTCAATTCAATCCCAGTAAATAAGGTTTTCTATAGGAAATCTTCATCTCATCCTGGCTGAATAAGGTTTTCTATAAGAAATCTTCAATTCAGTCTGGCTGAATAAGGTTTTCTATAGGAAATCTTCAATTCAGCCTGGCTGAATAAGGTCAGTTTGGCTGAATAAGGTTTTCTATAGGAAATCTTCAATTCAGCCTGGCTGAATAAGGTTTTCTATAGGAAATCTTCAATTCAGCCTGGCTGAATAAGGTTTTCTATAGGAAATATTCAATTCAGCCTGGCTGAATGTTGATTTCTATAGGAAATATTCAATTCAGCCTGGCTGAATGTTGATTTCTATAGGAAATCTTCAATTCAGCCTGGCTGAATAAAGTTTTCTATAGGAAATATTCAATTCAGCCTGGCTGAATGTTGATTTCTATAGCCTTCAGCCTGGCTGAATAAGGTTTTCTATAGGAAATCTTCAATTCAGCCTGGCTGAATAAGGTTTTCCATAGGAGCTCTTCAATTCAGCCTGGCTGAACAAGGTGTTCCATATGAAATCTTCAGTTCAGCCTGGCTGAATAAGGTTTTCTATAGGAAAACTTCAATTCAGCCTGGCTGAATAAGGTTTTCTAAAGGGAATCTTCAATTCAACCTAACAGAATAAGATATTCTATATTGAAATTTCAAAATTGTTTTGTCTTTTCTAAAAAAATTGTATCACTTACCATTTTGTTGTTGTTGGTTTTTTTTCGCAAAAATACAATTTCAGACAAAGATTTCCGGGATTTCTAAGCTGGTTGTGTTGTGTTCTGTTGCGAACCACTGGCTGTGACGTTGTGATAACTGTAGCAACATTTCAGGAAATATTTATACCTTGTCAGAATACCCAGTGACTAACAGGCGTCTTACTCCATGTCAAACGATGTCAATTGGGTGATGTGAGCATTCCATTCCATTGGCCATCTTTGCACATTCAAGATGTCGGATCCTTTTGTCATTCACTTGATTAGCATCTAGAAAGAAAATAACAGGGAGATAAAAAACGGTGAAAAGCTCACTATTTCCGACCATTCATAGATTATTGATATTAAAATAATGATAATAATAATAGTTGTTGTTGATGAGGATGCTGTTGTGGATGCTGTTGTTCATGTGGTTGTGGTGGCAGTTGCAAATGGGTCTGCTAGCAACAAACAATCAAATGAAGAAGAAAATTTCTAATCCGCATAGAAGGAGTTACCGCATCCTTTTTGTATTACACACAAGAGCTGAATTGGAGGATTTTCATGTGCCGGTGGTGGGGGTGACACACTCAACGGGTGTAGATATCATTAGTTTACCACAAATGATGATTACGCGTCTATTCGATTGACATTTGCGGATGATTAGTAATGTCCTTTTGTGATACTGTAACACACACATACATACGTACATACACATTAACATATTATTTTCCCATATGTCCAACAATTATATATATTTCAATATAATTTTCTATAGAAAATTATCAATTTAGCTGAGCTGAACACAATTTTTTTTAGGAAATTTTCAATTCAACATGGCTGAATACAATTTCAAATAGGAAATTTTCAATTCAATTTAATACAAATTAATTTGGAAATTTTCAATTTCGTCAGGGTTTCTGTAAGAAATTGTCTATCCAGCTTGGCTAAATACAATTTTATTTAAGAAATTTTTAATTCAGTGTGGCTGAATACAACTTTCTTTAGGAAATCTTCAATTCATCGTGACTTAATACTGTTTTCTTTAAGAAATGTTCTATTCAGCCTGGCTGAATAAGGTTTGCTTTAGGAAATCTTCAATTCAGCCTGGCTGAATAAGATTTTCTATAGGAAATCTTCAATTCAGCCTGGCTGAATAAAGGTTTCTAGAGTAAATATTCAATTCAGTCTGGCTGAAAAAGGTTTCTTTTAGGAAATCTTCAATTCAGCCTGGGTGAATAAGGGTTTCTTAGGAAATCTTCAATTCAGTCTGGCTGAAGAAAGGTTTTTAAAAAACCTTCAATTCAGCCTGGCTGAATAAGGTTTTCATTAGGAAATCTTAAATTCTACCTTTATGAAATCTTTAATTCTGCCATTAGGAAATCTTCAATTCAGCCTGTCTGAATAAGTTTTTCTTTATGAAATCTTCAATTCAGCCTGGCTGAATAAGGTTTTCTGTAGGAAATCTTTAATTCAGCCTGTCTGAATAAGGTTTTCATTAGGAAATCTTCAATTCAGCTTGGCTGAAAAAGTATTTTTTGATTTCCTATTGGAAACTTTCTATTCCATTTGATTGAATAAAGTTGTCTATTGGAAATTTGCTATTTGTGAATATGATTTCCACTAAGAATTGTTTTTAATACCCTCCCAAAAACACACACACGTTTCATAACAGTTTTGAAATAAAAAATATATTTTCGAAAAAAAATATTATTTCGGATTTTGAATCCTCCTCAATGGTGTTTCTTTGGTGGCTTGACAATAACAGGTTTGACAATAATGGGCTTAACAACAATGGGTTTCACTTTAATTGCTTGGGGTTGAGGGTGGACTTGACGTGGTGGTGGTGCTGGATGTCGGACTGGTGCCGGATGTTGGACTATTACAGGTTGAACAACAACCTGCCTAGGTGGTGGTGGTGGTGCTGGAGCAGGATGTTGCACGGCCGGTCTGTAGATAATAGGCTGGACAACAATTTGCTTCTGCGGTGGTGGTGGAGGAGCTGGAGCCGGATGCTGAACTTGTACCACAATTGGTCGCTGTTGTGGAGGTGGTGCTGGAGCTGGATGGGCAGCAACATAAACTGGCTGGGCTTGTGCCACATATGTTGGTTGGGGTTGAGGTTGGACATATACGGGATAAGTTGCTACTCCTCCACCTCCTCCTCCTATGGATTTTTTAAAAGTGGGTGTGGCTCCACAACCGATCACCAACAATGCCAAACAAATCAATGCGCTTTTGTTGTCCATCTTTTTATTTCGCAATCTTACTTCCTATCCTACTGAAATTAAACTGAAGTTTTCTTTGCAATATCCATTGCTTCTTATATTCGAAAATGAATCTTCTCAAAAGCAGATTCAACGAATAAACAAAAAAAATAATTTCTTAATTGAAATTCAATAATTGTCCATGAAAAATAAAATAAAAATATTGAGCTTCATTATCGTGCACCTACCTAGCACAATGCTTATCCTATGCCATATTTAAATATTCTCAAATGCCTAGATGAATTGAAATCAATCTTCAACAAAAATTATTTAATCTCAGTTGAAGTCAGGGTGGAGAGGAGGTTGGGATTTGAATTGGGGATTTTTTTTGGTGTTTCATTCAACGGTTATTCCACCAGAAATTAGTTAATGGCTCTCGTGTATACATTTTTTTTTAAAATAACTTAGTTTATGAGGAACTATTGGTAACGAATTTTAAGTTCTGTATGACGTAGGCGATTGGGTTTTATGTTTTATAGTTTCAGTTATATGCCTAATGTTATGCGAATTATTTAATACATTTTTCCTTTTGCGTGTGTCGCTATGTTGTGTTCGGAATTTAAAATGAGTTTGAATTTTTAATTTCAAAACAATTCACATCTCTTTTTTTTGGGTATACGTGATGAAAGGTGTTGCCAATTTTTTGTGTGATTCTTATCTCTACTTTCCATTTCTTATTTTTCCATGGATAGAATATAATATTTGACATCGAACCTTTAATATAAAAAAGAAGCTAGTAAGGAACGAATAGGAAAGTCGGACGAGTCGAGTATGTATATAAATATACATATAGGACGTACTGTCACATTGATGTTCTGTCCATCGGACCGATTTAAAACAAATTTCACACTGATTATTCAAGATTCAATTCTGTTATCTGTTCAAAATATTGTATCGGTTGGACAGACGTAGGCTCTTAGGTGAATTATTTACATTAAATCGGTCGATATTATATATGGGACCTATATCTAAATCTGAAGCGATTTACATCAAACTTGTCACCGGACATTCTGGATTCAATTCAGTTATCTGTCTTAATTTCGACATGAGCTCTTTGATGCACCATTCACATGAAATCCGACGAAATTACTTGAAACGATTTAAAATTTCGTAACAATCCTACAAATGTAAGTGCATTATTTACATTTATGTATCTAAATAGGATCCGATTTAAATTAAAACCAGACACGCGAACTTCTAGTCTCAATTCGACATTCTATGTAAGATTTCATTTCAATCGGACAGACATAGGCTCTTGTATGCATCTTTTACATTAAAACGGATCAGATGTGCGGACACGACGTCGTGCGCGCACCATAGCATTTGGTCATTCGTTGGCTGTCAAACAACGACTGACTGAAAGAGCATAACAATGCGTTTGAGTAGGCAGCTACTTTAAACTTTGAAATAGCATTGTGAGTAAAGTTTAAAGTATACGGATGGGCTTCATTGATTTCAAACAAATTTATAGAATAGAACTGCTATTAGAAGCCATTACTTTGTGTGAGTGACCCATGGATGGTGTTTGTACATTCATGCAGATATCCACATCATAGAGCAGCAGCTGTTCAAACACAAGCAGTCTTAGCGCTGCCAAGATGGTGTGAAAGTCTCACATACTCAGCATGAGGACTAAGACCACGAGATACGTTGCACATATTCAACTGCCCAGACCATCCGACTCACATGTCTCCGAATTCCCTTTCTCAGACACACAGTCAAACATGAGTGGCCTTAACACAGCTAAGATCGGGATGGTCCAACCGTATTTATTACGATTCCCCGCGAATTGATAGATCCATACCTAACACATTCACAGCATGAGGTCTGCGACCACACGTACCAATTTACCTGTCTCCGAATTCCCTGTAGAAGCAGCCCATAGAGGTTGCATGAGTCCTCGAAGTGTAGGCCTGGTCAACTCATAGTGTAGGCCTGGTGCAATAACAAAAACATTGACGTATATTTGGATTCATTCCTCAGACAACTAGACTTATCACAGCTATGATCAGGATGGTCCAACCGTATCCATTCCGATTCCGCACGAATTGTTGGCTAGATACCTAACACATTTCCAACACGGGGAGAGAAACTTGCACAACAAAAACACTAATCATCCTCAATGGGCATCAGTCTATGATGGCGAAATAAATGATGCGGACTCTCCTGTCTGCAAATCCTCAGATCTTCGACTTCAGGAACTGGCAATTTAATCTGCGGAATGTCCATAACTGCCCAACCAAATTTCCGCCCCTTCAGGCCCCTAGGTACATATTGCACTGCAACATCTTTAAGCAATATCGAATATGAAGATAAACTTCTTCAGAAATATCCGACCAATATATATATATATATATATATATATTGTTCCCAATAATCTATTGCCACATTCTCTAACCGACTTAAGAAAGACAACCTTGTCCAGATGCACAGGAACCAAAAATTATTTTGTGGGCTTTTTTCAAGCCATTCAGTTCGTTAGTTCTCGCAGTAGATCTTAAAAATTCTGGCGATGGAAAGGCGGTATTACAAACACATCAATTGGTATATCAAACGACTGCGAACAAACTAGAACAATTTAATTCCCCATTCTTTTGTCTATATCCAGGGAAATAAAGTCTAATTAATTTACTTTATTGGCTTATGGGTCCCTTGGCTATCGACTTATATAAAGTCACGAATCTTGGAAAACGATGAAATTAATCTGACGGTAGATATCATAACAGGGCACTGCAGGTTTAGGTCTCTCATTTCCAAATGAGATATTAAAGGACCCATGTATTTGAAAACTAGAATGATATAGAAAAATCAATGTTCAATGAATAATTGAAGCGGACATCAACTGTTTGATATATAAGAGATATACACCCGAAATATATACAATTTACATTGCCAAAAATCTATCCTTGGTAAGCTACAAGATGCAATCTCAACCCTTCCTTTGTTTCCGTCTTCTTTTTTTCTTCTTCTTATATATTTTCTTCTTCTTATATGATACAGAACTTTCTTCGAAATAAAAACAACAATTTTGCATTTCTTCTTATTGTATTATACCCAAATTTTTATTATATACATATTTCTTATATTTAAGTATAACAGTGACCTCATTAAATTTCCCTTCCTTCAACAATTGCAGCGTATCCTCCTTTAGATTTTCTCTAAAGGTTATCTTCACCTTCGACGTTTGACCAAACGTACTTTCAATTTGTCCACATTCACCCGTTGAAAGTTGAATTCGCTTGCCAATATACAACTGACGATTTGATTCCTTTTTAAAGAGATTTTGAACAATAATATCCTGATCATTGACTAGACGTTGAACATTACCACGTTTCTCTTTCGACTTAAAAACTTTCCAGGTGGGTAATTGTTCTTTCACGTAATTACTGGAATTGGTGTACCATTCAATGTTACCCCAAAATGCCAAACGACAACAATTACTATGGATATCCAAATCTAATTTAGAGGCAATCAGCAGGGAGTCCTTGGTGGCATATATGGGTGTTTCAAATTCCAATAAGCAATAAATTATATCTCCACTTTCTTTTATTTTTTCCATATCCAATTCGTCGAGGTACTCATATTCCTGGATGGGATTAAATTCCCTTGATTCCTTTTTCTCGATGGCCTTGAAGAGTGTTATATTTGCCATTACAGTTTCATGTCCAACACTTATGTGTAATTTTGTTTTAGACTTAATGGCAAATTTATAGAATTGTATGTGTCGTAGTTGTATGAGAGCGGCATAAATCAGCTGCATATAACCTGGGGCACACACAATACCACGTTCCATTGCCTTGGCACTAAATTGTGTAACACAAATACCAACACGATCACCCATTTCGGCAGAGGTTACAGGTCTACGAAACATTTGTATGGACTTGATTTTACGTTGTTCCTTGATCTTTGGTATATCGATGGTATCGTTTACATTACAACAGCCCTGTATAATTGTACCGGTACATATTGTGCCTATATTTATAGAAATTTGTTTGTGCTAAGTTTAAATTGTTGATAATTTTGAATTTTTTAAGGTTATTTTTATGATGTTGATTTGTAATGATTTTGATGAGATGTTTTTTTTAATGTCTTTTGTTTTGGCCAATCACTTATTATATACATACAGAATAACTTGCATTAAGACCTTATCAATGGGTCTAATTTACAGAACATATATATTTTTTTTAATTTTGTTTAGGTATAAAATATAAAAGCATTGAACTTCGTGCGATAAAAGCAACCAAACCAAAATCATTTAGACGTCCATGAATATAGATTTGCTCTACGTCTACGTCAAAGGGATTGAACTAGCTAGCGCAAGGTGGCTAACCACAATTAGGCTTTAAGGAATTTATATGATCGACTGCGAAAATGCAGGTATTAGAAGGCAAAGGAAGAAAGCTAGCAGGTTTTGCAACCACAAACAATCGTTTCCACGACTGAGGGGTCTACGGTCGCAAACGATCCGAGTGTCACTCGGTCAACGTCTCAGACCATTGTGTAAAAGCAGTAGGGCTGCTACAACACAAACCATTAGGGTTTCCACGCCAGAGGCGGCACTCTGAGACCGTCAGGTCCATTGTGATCATATACGAAAAGAAAGAGATATGCAGAGATATATAGGGGAGAAAAGAAGGGGGGATAGAGAGAGATGAGAAGCTTACAAGAAGTTTGAAATAGTATCGATGCTATAGAGATCGGACAGAAGATATATTACGTGTCAAGGTTTCAATTTCCTAACCACTTTAGATTTCTAATTATGCTGTAGATTAGAGCAGGTTCAGTTGTTGAGAAGAAACTAGACTCGGTGGAATATGAGCACCCCCTAGTCTGTGCCGCCTATAAGCTATTGTAATGTAATTATTAGGCTGGTAACAGCTTTTGAATTGCTTTGAATGAAATAAAATAAATAAGCCAGGTCTGGACAGTGACACAGGAGATGCTCAATTGTCTCCGTCTCCTCCTCGTCAACGCAGAGTCTACAGTAATCAATTGCATCATGATCCCATTTAGTAGTAAAGGCCCTGATATTGCAATTACCAGTAATGATTCCTGTCATTACTCTTATTTCAGCTTTGCTCAGGTTCAACAGTGAGTTGTTGTTGTTGTAGCAGCCCTATTGCTTTTACACAACGGGCTGAGGTGACAGACGTTGGCCGAGTAAGACTCGGGTTGTTTCGGATCGTAGACCCCTCTGTCGTGGTAGTGTGTCCATTTGGTAGACAGAGTCGGCCAAATAGATCATGACACATTGCACCTAGGTTTGTTGTGCCAAAGGTCTTTCGTCGAAGAACGCCTCAAAGTTCCGATAAAGATGGCATATGGGTGGTTTGATTGAGTTATCAATTGCTAGATCTGTGGATTGAGATCCTCGTCTAGCTAATTCGTCTGTTTTTTATTACCCATGATGTCACGGTGTCCTGTTACCCAACACAGCCGATAGCTGTAAATAAGTTCTTCCAAGGCTTTTCTACACATCAGGACAGCCTCAGATTTAGTGTAGCAGCATTTGATGGCTTTAAGAGCCGCTTGACTACCACGAAGATATTCACCGGTCCAACGACCTCTGCATCCAGACTTTTTATTACTTCCGCTACCTTCCAAATCGCGAAGATTTCAGCTGGGAAAACACTACAGTTGCAATCCAGCTTATAGGTTAACTCAAGGCTCGCAGTAGACGCGATCTTGGATCCGTCTTTATAGGAAGCCAGACCGTCCAGAGCAGGGTTACTGCGGTTCCAGTCGTCTCTACTAGGAATAACATTTACATCAAATCTCAGGACTGGTAATATATAGTCGCTTAGTTTTACGCGTTACAAATTCATAGATCTGTACGACCTCACATTGTGTATTTCATTGGCGAAATCCGAAGAAATACTGGGAGAACGCCGGTGGCTGATGTTTAGCCATTTAAAAAACTATTTGGCTTGAGTTAGATTAAAATCTTGTTTTAAATATTAAACATGTGATTATTCAGTCTACAGTTGGGATTCAGTGGAGGAAAATACAAGGGTGTCATAGGAACTTCAAAGGTTTGTATTGTACCATTGAGCTATTTATGAACCCCTTCTGGGAAAAGTATAGTTTCGGGTCTGATCGCAGATCGTTTTGAATTTTTTAAAATAGAAAGTCCATGAGACCACTATAACAATTAAGATTTATATATATCTGAAGTTCCGTTTGTAGGGGGTTACCTTCAGCCGAAAATTTAGCTCTCCTATGTACAGATTGCAACTCCGGCTACACGACAGAAACCTTTTAATTATATTAGTACTTGTGGCCCTAAGAACTGCATATGGTAAAAATCCGTGAGCGGGCCTTGAACTAGACTTAAGTCCTCTAAAGCCACATAAGATTCATTAAAAAATTGTTTACATAAAATTAAAAACATTAATTCATTCTGAATTATAGCTTACCTTGACCCTTAATGGAAAAACAATGATCGACATACATTAAAAATGGCAAATCACGATTACGTTGAGGCAAAAACACATTATCCTTAATGCCATTTAGAAATTCGGCAATACCTTCACCGCTCAGCGCAGATACATGATAAATGGGAAAATTGTCACCAAATTTTGTAGCGGACAAAGCTTTTCGTAATTTAGTGTCAAGTTTTTTAAGAGCCAATTCACGTTTCCCACCGCTGCCGCCACCATCAGCAGCAGCATCCAACATATCAATTTTATTAACGACCACAATAAGTTTTCGTTGTAATAGCTCTCCAATGACAATACATTCGGCCGTCTGGGTTTGTATGCCTTTTTGGGCATCGATCACCAAGATCATCATATCAATTATTTGGGCACCTAAAGAGAGAATTCTATGTAATTATATTGTCATTCATAAATTTCCAAAAAGCATACTCACCTCCTATTATAGTCCTTATCAAACTGGCATGTCCCGGACAATCAACAAATGTTAATTGCAATTTTTCAATAGCGGCATTTTCCTGTTTGATTTTGTCCGGCGCATCTATTGTGAGAGCACTAAAACCCAAATCCAAAGTTATACCACGTTCTTGGGATTGATTGGATTTATCAAAGGCTGCAGTACTGGAAATCTCACTTAAAACTTTGGCCAATGAAGTTTTGCCCGAATCCACATGACCCAGCAATCCAATGTTGAAATTCTTTATGGTCATGGTGGAGAGGTTCTTTGCATGCAATTTATAATGTTTACTGTTATCCAAATTTCAGTAACTTCACTTAATTAATAATTATAGAATATAAGAATATTTTCCTATTTTTCCTATTTTTTACAAGCCATACTTCTTCATACAAGGCATTCCACGTAAAATGATAGCAAAATATGTATTTCATTAATATTTGTTAAAAATTTCAACTAATACCACACTTGTAATTATTGATATTTTGACTTTTGGGGATATGTTAGTCAATCAAATAATTTGTATCAGAATACTTTTCTAAAATCTAACAATAAGCAGCTATTGCTTTTCCTTTTTTTGCCGCCTAAACCAAAAGTTGTCACGCCATATGAATTGATATCCCACGACAGTGAATAACAGCTGATGTGAACATAGGGATCTAAAGGTGTATACATACTATCTAAAGGTGTATACACACTATCTGTTTAGATTGTCTTTTGTGTTTTTATCGATTACTGACTGTCCATCTATCTTGAAATGATCGTGGATACCGACCAAGATCTATTAATATTCGGTAAATTAACTATTAAAATCTTTTTTGGCCCTTTGGGCTAGATTCTCGTTTATGAAATAAAAATTGAAATTAACAATTAAAATAAAGTAGTCGCTGTTTTAAAATCTAATTTGCAAAAAGTTTTTTTTTTAATTTATAAAGAGAAGCTCGAACATAATTTCGCAAACTGCTGAAACAGTAAATCCTTAAAGAATTTGGCCAGAATATATCCTTCCATTGGAAATTTCCCAGCTCCCAGTAACACAATTTTTAAAATTTCACTAATTTAATAAACTTGTTATAAAAATAATTTTAATCAGCTCTCAGATCATTTTGAAATTTTTACCACAGTTACTCTATCCTCGAGAGGGGAAATCAGCATCTTTAAAAATATCACTCCGAAACGCACCAAAAGGACTATCTGCAGTAATCATTTCAAACGTTTCGGAGTGGTGTTCTTAAAGATATTTAATAAAAGTTAGTAGCCACATACATTGGGAAGTACTGACTTCTCCCCGAAACAATTTATGTTGTTGTAATCAGCATCAGATACTTATGGAAAAATTATCTGAGAGGTGTCCGTAAAGTGCAGTTGTTTCGAACATGATATTTTTTTCCTAAGTAAACATTTAGAAAACTATCTTCCAAATATTGAAACTTTTGTCGCCTTAGCACATTATAATCAAAACACAAATTTAATTTCATATATCCTAACATAAGATGTGTCATCATACATTTTTTATTTATTTATTATTATTATTGTTTTAACGCGAGTCCATTTGAAAATTGTTCCATGATGTTCTTGTTGTTGGTAGATTTACAAAATATAAATTATGATAATTGATTTCCAATCGGTGTGTATGTGTAGTTTATTTTGTTTGTCTGTCTGTCGGTGTGTATGTGTGAGTGTGTTTGGAAAGAATGAATAATGCGGCAAGGTTCGCAAGCAAACGCGCACATTTTATGTAAATCCACAATCTATTCAAACAAAAAAGATCGATTATCAACCAATTCCAACGATTTAAGCCTTTTTCTCTCGTTTCTCTGTTTGACCATTACAATGGACACTGGATTGTTGATTGGCATCGGGATTGGCGGTTGTCTTGCGCAAAGTTTTTTGCAAAACATGAGCATCGGCTGGTTCAATACGTCTATAATAGTGTTCTTTGGTTTCGACAATTTCGAAACCAAACTTTTTGTAAAATTCTATGGCGCTGTCATTGTTCACCTGGACGTGCCTTAAAGATCAGAGATATAAAGATAAAAATTATAAAACCAATAACTGACATATGGATATTTGATGCAATCACTTACAAGAAAATGCTATCAAAATTACCATCCTTTTCCACATAGTTTAGGATGTGTTGGAACATAACGGTACCAATGCCCAGTCTACGATAAGGCGATAAGCAGCCCAAAGTCATTATGTAGAGACGCCTTTGGTTTTCCGAGGTATCGATGCGACAACACACAGCTCCAACAACAATATCATTGTAATAGGCCAATTTGGCCAATTCACCAGCTTCCAAGACATCAACGTAGAATTTGTCATTGTAGGAGACGGGAAAGACCACAGTATTTAGCTTTTTCAATTGTTTAATATTATGGGGTGTTACATCGCCCAATTCAATGCTAGCTCTGTAGGATTATTCGGTTTTTTTTTTGCACAAGCAGCCGCAGCAGCACAAGGAATAGAATAAAACACAATTTTTGGAGGTTAGAACGAGAATACAAACAAAACATTGTTGTGTGATGGCGGAACACCCAACACATGACAATGCTGGAACACTTTACCTGGTCATATTGTATGTGTGATTTAATAGAACTAATAGTTGAAGATATTTTATTGATAATTTTATTTAATCCTAATGGCTTATTGCTTCGTTATGTGCAGGGATAAGTAAATCGACTTTCTGTGGGTCTTCGGAATGGAGATGGCAAAGCGTTTAGTTCGATAACTCGATAATTCTTAGTGGAAAACGATAATTCACATTCAATTGATTGGCAACACCTAACAAATTGCAAATCACTGAGAATTCTCAAAGCAATTCACTGGGAAATGATAACACAAGCATTCATGTTATCGCCATTAATGTCCAAAAGTCGACCTTCACATCCCTTATTTCCGAGAGAAATATACAAGAGCCAGAGCAGCATATACAAAAACTTTGGCTAAATTTTTTTTGTATAAAAAATAAAAATATAAATATATTAATTAATTATTTCATATAAAAAACGAAAAAACTAAGTGCTAGTAATAAAACTAAAACAAAAAACCCAATAAATATATATACAAAAAAATTTAGAGCATCTGAAAAAAACCAGCTTGAAAAAAATTTTGCTGCAAGAAAATCGAAAATCAAGAAGGAAGAAAGTGAAAAAGTGAAAGCCTGAAAAAAGGAAGTGAGAAATAGAGACAGAGCGAGAGCAAGCAAGCACACAACACAGAGAACAAAGAACAAGAGAATTTGCAGAGAAAGAAAAATTGGAGAGAAGACAGAGACACACACACAGAGAGAGGGATACAAAAGCAGAAAAAGTCGACACAAAAAAGATTTGCTTACAAGAAAAATTATTCGTTAAATACAGGTGGATTGGATTTTTACAGAAGCAGGAAAAATTGAGAAAAATTGATTTAGATTTTTCTTGAAAGCGTTTCCAAATCGTTCAGCAAAATTCTCGGCATTAATTGCAACTCGATTTACAGCACTTTAATCAATACCCAGCACAACTTAAACAAGCTAACGCGTTCAACTTCAACACAAGCAGCAGCCACACACAACCGAAATCTGCCGATTATGTTTGTCAACTCAATGACGTTCCGTGGTAATCCGGCTGCGAGCCACCACTATCACCAACAGCAGTCCGCATTGAACCATCATGCATCGTTGGCTGCCGCTGCAGGACACCCCTTGGCTGCGGCCCATCATGCCAGCCAACAGGCCCAGTTGCACCATCCAGCAGCCCATACGCCTGCTGGACCATTGGGACACCATTTGGGTGCCCACACGGGTCATCATGCGGCTGCCGCCAATAATAATTTAAATCATTTGGCTGGAAGTCTTAATCGTACGCCCCATGCACCCATGGGTTTGGGCACCGGAAACATTACTTCGATTTCGCCCCATCTGTCTGCTGGAAGCACTTCATCGGGCAGTGCTTCCAGTACCAATTCCCCGGACGGTGGTAAAATCTACATTAAGAACTTGGAGCGGTCTATTGACAACAAGGCAATGTTCGATACGTTCTCGGTTTTCGGCAATATACTCAATTGCAATGTGGCCAAGGATGAACATGGCAATTCGCGTGGCTATGGATTTGTCCATTTCGATACGGAGGAATCGGCCCGTGTGGCCATCGAAAAGGTCAATGGGATGTTGTGTAACAACCAGAAGATTCATGTTGTCAAGTATATACCACGTCGTGACCGAGAACAGGAAAAGGCTACGCAATTTAGGAACTTGTATGTGAAGAATTTCAATGAGGACTTTTCGGAACAGCATATGAGAGAAATGTTTGAGCCATTCGGTCGCATTACCAGTCATAAGGTAAGGTTTGCTTTTTTGGTAATTAAAAAATGAAAAAAAGTGTTCCGCAGGGGGACAAGGTTCAATACCTTTTAAGCAAGAGTGTCAAGACCCCATGCTAGTGGTTATAAATATTTTCATTTCCCAATCTCTTGTGTCCCACAGAAGTTCAAACTTTTTTTTTGAACTTTTGGAACTCCAGAAAAATATTTTTTTATTTTTCCTCATTTTTTTTCCTTCATTGCCTTTTGTGTTCATTATTTGTTCAATTCACATGTTATACAATCCCTATCCTTTTACATGGCTCTTCGAGCTGAGCAGATTTTTGTGCTCTCTGCTTGTGCGCACTGCACATTTCCTTGTTTCCAACTGCAATTAGTAATTGTGTGATTCTATATAGGATTTCTCCAAAAAATGTTGCTGCGTACCCGTAATACAAACATGCTGGGGTTATTGTATGTGGTGCTTGCCTTTGCTGCAAGGAATAGTAACCCTACAGACATATTTCCAATTTTTTTGTAGCAAACAACCCCCAACATATTGACTGACGACGACGATGTTGGTTGTTCTCTTTTCCATATAAAACCTGCAAATTGCTGACAGACAGACTGCCTGCCTGACTAACTGTGTGTTTTTTGATGAGTTCGTCGTGTTTTATTTGTTCCTTCCTTTCTTTTCTTTTTCCCCATATAAAAATGCATGGCTTTTTTTATTACTAGCACTGTCAAGTATTTAGAAAAATAGAACCTTGAACTCATATACCTATATATTGAGCTTACAAATGCTGATTATACAAAATTGAATTGAATATTGAATAATTAGAAACGTTTTCAAATATTATTACAAACGTATAAATAATATTTGAAAAATTTACTGAAACAATGAGACGCGAAGTCAAAGACATGGCTTTTGAGATGACATTTTCAATCTTTCAAGAAAGCTTGTTTGGTTTTTTAAGAAAATTAGAGATATTAGAGAAAGGCAGAATCCGTTATTATAAAGACACAGAAGTACAACGAGCAAATGTCCAAGAAAAAGAAGGGTTATGAGGTCAGCTCATTCAAAGTCGGAGACTTCATAGTAGTTAAGAATGTAGACACAATAGTTGGAGTTAACAAAAAGCTATTGCCAAAATTTAAGGGTCCTTATGTCATAAACAAGTTTCTTCCAAATGATAGATACATACGTAGTCAAAGACATTGAAAATTGTCAGATCACTCAAATTCTTTATGATCGAGTGATCGAAACTTGTAACATAAGATTGTGGAAGACGGATGAACAAGGTGAATTGATCCAGAGCTGCACTGACCCAAAGGGTATATAGTTGCATAAGTATGTAGAATAATCCCATTAAGTATATTAACCCCTAGTAGAAGTAATTTAACCCCTATGTGACCGAGGCGGCCACACGTTCTGGTTGGCCAAGCTGTAGTAGAATCGTTAACCAATCTATTTTAAATAATTACTGAACAGGTCTATTGTGAATCACCACTACTTACGATCATTAAAATACAACCATGCATGTAAATTAAGATTAAGAACAAGGAATGATGAAATAATATAAGACGGATGATGGTGTCATGGACTTCTCAACACTAAGAGATCCATTGGAGAGAGCTGAGTGATCAAAAGGTCCAGCCACCATTGTCCTTCTCCTTTGGAGGGGCTACTGTGGTTTACGTGTGACGTAGGAAATCTTTCAAGTAACAAGTCAATCGTATAGAACTTCTGAATGAATTTAAGATACCTTTTAATCAGAACAAAATCCTTGCAGCAATTAAATGCTCTCCCCGTAAATATTCTTGTCAGAAAACTCTATGGCATTGACGCCCTATTGCTTTTGCGAAATGGTCTGAGATGACAGACCTTGGCCGAGAAAGATTCGGATCGTTTCAAATCGTAGATCCCTCTGTCGTGGAAACGGACGCGCTTAGTAGTTTTTTGTGCTGATGATACATCCACCGTTTCGATAGCCTCTACTTCAACGGCCAGCTGACTCAGAAGTCTCGATCGCTGCACGCCGTGTAGATGGAGTTGCGATCTTCATTCTTTTCAGGGATTGCATCGGGGAAAACTCATATTGACTTAGAGGAGTCATTGTGTTGGTCACAGTGAATCCATAGCGTCTGAGAATTGGGACATAGGGAACGAGTTAGCCGACGAGCTTACTCGAGGGGGTTCACAGTCGCCCAATCTTCCGATTGAGAGATCTGTGCAACCACCCATTGGCTATTTCAATTTATTGGCAAAATTCGTTTGTTCTACGGCGAGGCATCAGATGGTCGAGGGGACCTGGTTGCAGAATCTCAAAAGCTAACTGGCCTGAATTCTATCGCCCAAGAACTTCTTCGCTGTTGTCACATAATAAGAGAGAGAGAGAGATATATCAAAATCATTGTTGGATCATAACTGGTCACTGCAAGATTAGATCCCTCACTTTGAAATGGGACTCCATTGGAGAGGATTACTGTCGTCTATGTGAGGACAAAGAGGAGCTAGAAACAATTGAACATATCCTCTGTAGATGTCCACGGCTGAGTGGCAGAAAACACAAACAGTTTGAAAGATATAAAATTGATAATCTGGCTTTCTTCTTCAAAGTAGACCCCAATCAGATTCTAGGCTTTGTCAAAAATCCGGCATGGCTAAACAAACCATAACGATCTTCTAGGCTATTCAACTCCAACCAATTTTCCGTACATCCCTAAACTAACCTAACCTAGTTCAAGTTCGAAGATGTGTATTATCGGTTCACTCCTTCTGGTAACAACCACCCCCACAAAATGGTCAAAATTGTAAAAAAAAACAATTTTATAATATCATGTGAACGGACTATCCCATTTGAATCAAACTTTGTACAATCTATTTTCTTTGCCAAGCCTAGATCAAGTAGGAAGATGGGAACCATTGGTTCACTCATTCTGGTACCTTCCCTCACAAAGGCTCAAAATTTTCAATATTTATAAATACAATATCAGGCGAATGGAATGTCCGAGTTGAACCAAACTATGTACAACCTATTATCTTTACCAAGCCTAGATTAAGTCCGAAGATGGGACCAGTTGCCCCCATTGCCCTCAGTAGATCATATTTCACTAGTATTTTATTTTAAGGCTCAAAAGCCTATTTTCCATTTCTCTAAAATTGAAATTATTTCCCCGCTGTTTTTATAAGAAAATCAAGAATTATACGCTTTAATTAATTTACGCTTTAATTAATTTTTTTTTGTTTTCCAGATTATGACTGACGAAGAAGGTCGTTCCAAACGTTTCGGTTTTGTGGCTTTTGAAAATCCCCAATCAGCTCTGGCAGCTGTTATTGCCTTGAATGGCAAACAATTGGGCGACAAGTACCTTTATGTGGCTCGAGCTTTAAGCAAAATCGAGCGCCAACAGGAAATCAATCGCAAATTGGAGGAACGCAAAAGACAGAAACCAGGTCAAGTATTTTATTACTAAGAAAAGCTGGCGTGGATGAATTAACATCATGCAAAAGCAAAAAAAAAAAATGAATAAAATAAAAAAGAAAAAAATCTTAATATTTATCTTACATAAAAAAACAAGAATTAAAAAAGAAAAACATTAATATTTCACTATTATACACACACTATGCAAAAAAAGAAAACACACCTATTCTTAAATGTATTGTAGAAATTTTAAACCCAATTAAGAAAACATAAAAAAACACACATGAATATTTTTGAAATCTAGAATAACGTTTTAAGGAAAAAACAAAACAAAATGGAAAAAATATGAAATGAAAAAAAATGAAACATATTGCTTAAATGTTAAATAATTGTAATAGTACTACTAAAACAACAAGAAAAAAAGAAGAAAATGAAAAACAAAACTACACAACCTAAGCTTTTTTAGACAAAGGAAAAAAACAAAACAAAAATAGAAGCAAAAAAATTAATTTTCATTGTATTAATTAAAGGAGTGGAGCTCCTTTTTTTCGACACAAAATATTTTATGCACTTTTATGACGAATAATAAAACAAAAAAAAAATAAATTTATTTTCTCATACAATTGAAAACAAAACAAAAACAACAATAATAGGAAAACCTAAAACAAGGCAAAACAAAAATTAATGAAATGATTTAAGTTCAGAATGAAATAAAAATTAGTTTATAATAATTAACAAAAGAAAAAAATGGAAACAAAACAAAACACATAATGAAATAAATGTATTAGCAAAAAGATTATAAAACCGAATAAACAACAACAACAACAAAAAACAAACAACTTTTTTAAGTATTACCGAAAAAAAAAAACAAAAAGAAGAAATGAAATGGAAAAAAAATGATTTATTTAGTAAAAATACCAGAAAGAATAACAAAACAAAAATATATTAAACATTTATATTGCTTATATTGTAAGTCTTGATTAAAATGAAAAAAAAAAATGATGAAAAAAACACAAAAAAACAAATATTAGAAATCCCCATTCTCACACATACATACACCCAAACACACACACAATTATTATGTGTAGATAAAAAAATTGCTTGAAATTGATGAACAAATGGCAATTTTTTTAATAAAAAAAAAACAGAAATCCTTAGAGTTCTAGTTCTATATAATCATGCATACAAACTACACTTTATAAAAACAACAACAACAAGTTTTCAACATCATATATTTGTAATTTGGAATATTTAATGAAATATATATGAGCAACTTGAGAACTACTTTCAGAAAATTATTGTAGAACAAAAACAACAAACAACAAAGAATGAAAAAAATACATTAAAATATGTGCAAATAATATTGCTTAGCAATTGTTCTCCTATTATATTTTCGTATTCTTCTTCGCAGACAAATCAGAAAAAGAAAACAAAAAAATTCGGTACAAATTTTTTTCTCCTTCATAATTCATTATTTTTTTTTTATTTTTGTATTATTAATCATTCTCTTGATTTCCTTTTTGGGGAATTTGAAGATGGAAAATTTCATAAAAACTAACGACATTTTTTTTTTCAAAACTAAAAACTCATTATGAAACATTCAAAATACAAAAACAAACATTGTATGCAAGTATTGTATTGAACATCTAACACAAGCATTTTTCAGATGAAAACATTTTTAAGATTTTCTTTTTGGAAATTTTCAAATTTAAATTTGCCAGGCCCAAGGGAATAAATTTTCCTCTGGCTGGCTTAAAAATAATTAATTAATAAACGACTGAATTTTTAAAACATTTTGAATTTGAATTTTTCTAACAAAATAAAATTGAATTTATTTTTCTTCTAATTAAATTTAATGAACTTTAAGCATTATAACATACATATTATCAAATTTTCAATATTAAAAAATATGAAACACCATTATTGGATTCATTTTAATATGATATTTATAGTTTACATTATCGTGTCTATCTAGTGTCATTTTTTTACTGCACGATGATAGAAGAATTAATCACAAAGACTAATGGATAATGTAAACAAAACTTTGAATTTATAAAAGTATTTTTTTTTCCAAAATTTACTTAACCCTCTTCAAAAACACAAAAGACTCATCAGAAAAAATAAATACCATCTGAAAAGAAAACAAACTAATTGTTCAGACGTTGCAAACAAAAACCAATTTCTCATCAATTTTTTTTCCACATTTATTCGAATATTTTTTATGATATTTTTTATATATTGTATATCCATATATTTGTATATCCTATAATAGGCTGCCATTACAAAAAAAACAGTATATCAATATTTTCACACACTACTTTTTTTACAACATACAACAATTGCAAGTGAATAAATAACAACAGCAACAACAAATGACGAATCCAATAATTTTTTTCACTTTTTTTTTAAATATTTGCTATTTTTTAATAGCCATAACATTAATTATTTAATCATCATTACTAACGGAATAAATAAGTAAACTATATAAACATACACACACATAAACACCCAATATACACAATTACACCATCTCTATATACACACACACTTACTTATATATTGAAATTTCATTAAATTAATACAATTATATTAAAAAGTAAAACAAAAAAATAAATAAAAAAACAAAACACAAAAAAAAAACAAATTACAATTCACAATAATGAAAAAATATTGAACAAAGTATGTAAAATTATGAAAGAATCTTAAATAAAAAAATGCTTTTGCAAAAAGTGTTTAAAAATTATATTATAAACAAAATGAAATGTTTTATTTTTCTTAGAGGCATATTTTTAAAGGGGTAGTGGAGCTACGAGAGTGTATGAAATTTTTCATTTTTTTGAGATTTAGAGATACCTGAATTTTTAAAATGGTTATTTGATCTACAAACTTTGAAGTTATATTAAAGCTACAATCATGTTTTTGAAAGAATTCCTTTGAAGGCATATTAGAACTCCAACCATTTTGGAAGGGATATTATTGCTAGGTGCGTTAAACCTTTAAATAAAACTTTTAAAGATTTTGAGATGATTTTGGTCTTTTAAATAATACTTTTAAAGGGTCCATTCCGATACATTGTGATCATCCATGAAAGACATGGAGAGATCTGTAGGAAAGAAACAGACTGGGAAGCTATTATTATTAGAATGAAGGTGGGAATAGTTTCGGTGGCTAAAGAAATTGAACAGATAAATATATTACGTGCTAAGGTTGTACTTTCCTAACCACTTTAAGTTTCTAATGATATTGGAAATGAAAGCAGGTTCCATAGTTAAAAAAAAGCTTAGAAAGTGAGCACCCACTAGTCTGTAGGTCAGAACTGAACAGCGACACAGGAGATGCTCAATTGTCTCCTTCTCTACCCCGTCGGCACAAATTCCCATTTACTCGTAAAGGCCCTGATATTCCAATGACCAGTAATAACTCCTGACATTACTCTAATTTCAGCTTTGCTCAGGTTCAACAGTGAATTTGTTCTCCTGATTGACAGCGTCGGCCAGATAGATGTTGACACATTGCACCTAGGTTCGTTGTGCCAAGTTCATAAGCTCTTTCGTCGAAGAACGCCTCAAAGTTCCGATAAAGATGACATATAGGTGGTTTGATTGAGTCATCAATTGCTAGATCTGTGGATTGAGATCGTCTAGCTAATTCGTCTGCTTTTTCATAACGCAAGATGTCACGGTGTCCTGGTACCCGACACAGCCTATAGCTGTAAGTAAGTTCTTTCAAAGCTGTTCTACACTTGAGACGGCCTCAGATTTGATGTAACAAGATTTGATGACTTTAAGAGCCGCTTGGCTATCCGCGAAGATAGTCACCGGTTCTACGACCTCTGCATCCAGACTTTTTATAAATTCCGCTGCCATCCAAACCGCGAAGATTTCAGATTGGAAAACACTAGAGTTGCTATCCAGCTTGTAGGTAAGCTCAAGCCCTAGCCTTTCACAGTAGACGCCAGCCCCTGTACCTTCTTTCATCTTTTCGTCTCTACTAGGGATAACGATATCTATAATGTCAAATCTCAGGACTGATGAACAAAACCTATTAAAGTTATATGGAATAAATTGTCTGTTCAGTAGTTAGTTGGATCGGGTGCTACAATAATAGAAAAAAAATTCTATTATTTTTTCGTCGAATAGTTGATTCTAGAGCAGACAAATTATTTAAATTATTAAATTATTATATGTAGTCATGGCATAATTATTCCATGTATGTAGTTAGCAATGTCCAGAGCTCCGAAATGCTGGAGTACTCCTGCGAGTAGAAAAAGTAAAACGAGTATACTCTTTTTTTCTCTTCCACTCAAATAAGAGCGCAAGTGCTTCGCTCGTATTCGAGTGGGAGTGAAATTCGCTCGAAATCGAGCAGATTCCACTCTTGTCGAGTACTCTTTTATTATTATTTATTTTTTTTTTTTTTTTTGATACCGTTGTTGCGTTTGATGTTGTTTGTGTTCTTTGTTTGTTTTGTGATGTTTGGTTTGTAACTCGTTACATGTGTAATGATGTATATGATCTATCTCCCCACATCACACAAAGGATCAACAACATTAACAGTTTGCTACTACGAACATACAAACAACCAAAAAATCAAATTTAATTGTCCACTCCATTTCACTCTTCGAGTGAACTCTTACTCTATTTCGAACGTTTTAACTCTCACTCTTTTTCTTCAATAAGGAGTACTCGCGAGCACTCCTAAACAAAATAAAAGAGTGAAGAGTATACTCCTTAAAAAACTCGTACTCTTCTCGTACTCCCACTCGGGAGTATTTTTCACTCGCGAGTAAAATCGAGCAAATCGGAGCTCTGGCAATGTCTATCCCCCAAATCATGAGTTTTTTACCATCACATTGTCTAAAATATTCTATTTTATTGTACTGTGTAAACATTATCATAGTGCCTAATAAAACACGACAAATGCCACAGAAAAACCCGTCCAACGTAAAGTAGCCTCGTGTTGTAATATTCATTTGGCAATAATCTCGATTGGATGTTATAGACCAAAACAAATTGTATATCATCAAAATGTACTATTTTTAAATGAAATCCATATTTTCAAGGCCAAAAATATCAAAAAACTAATTTGTCAAATAAAACAGGACTACAGCGGTGCAAAATACTTGCTGGTTATTGGTTAATCGCAAATGAACACGAGTAATCGTTTTTCTCCATGTTTCCTTTGCCGTAACATTCTAAACATTTACTTTTCTGTAATGCTCTTGATTTGGCATTCTTTGCGCCAAATGCCAATCGATTTTGTGTTGTCGTTAAGTGTGGTTGTAAATTTTTTGGAAATATTTAATTTTTACTAATTGTTGAATATTTTAGTTGTTAATTTTATATATTTGTTTTAAATTTGCCTGTTTTTAGGCTAAGGTAAGTATCGGTGTGTGTGTAAATAATAAATATATATATATATATATTTTAAATTGCTAGGTAATAAATAATGATTAAAACTAATTTTGGTTGCCGGAATCGATGTTGGATTAGGAGGGAAAGAATCGTCAAGTGTTGTTACTGTTTGAGAATGAATAATGTTTATATTGCAATGGTTTAGAAGTTGATTATATTTTATAACAGTTTCCATTCCGATCACAGAAAGTCCATAATACAGTCCAAAACATTTGTCTCCAAATCGTCTCCTGCAGTACCTGATACCCATGTTCCTGCTTACATTGATCTGTGAAATCCATATTTCCGGCAATATATGTCTCCAAAGTTCCACTGGTACCCTTTTAATTTCACATCCATTTTAAAATGTATTTAAAATTCACAAAACCCTAGTGGAGTCCTCATTTTGGAGCTCTCCGTATGTCTATAATCAGGATATATAAGGTAACCTTCGATAAACTCTTAAGAGTTGGTGCAAAAATTACATTTGAAACTATAATTGAACTCAATTCCTGAAAGTCGATTTATATGCCAACCGCTTTTCATGAAAATGATTCACACAAGACGCTTGCGTGGGTTGGATGCAATTCTAAGGGCATCCTCCTGTAACTACCCAATGTTTTATAGAGTAATATTTAGTCAACTCTGACTTCTTTGATCCTTACCTTATTTATTATTTAAATTAAACATTATTAATCTGAATGTTGACCTATCCCATAGAGTCAATCTTTATTTATATTGATTTATTTATTCCATTCAATAATACATAAGCCTCCAAGGCTTTACAAACATGTTTTTATTAACTGATTTGTTTTTATTTTAGATCACACACCTTCTTCAATTTACAAAAAATACAAACAGTAGCGAGGAAAATGAGTAAAGGCAAATCAACACGTTCGACAAAAATCAAAGAAGATCCCGATGCACCGGCTAAGAAAGGTGGCAGCGCAAATGTTGCAGCCGCAGCATTACGTAAAATTTTTTATATATCTCAAGAAATGTTAACGGATGATACACAAAAATTGAAATTAGAACGTTTTTATCATCCGGGCAAAGGAAAGCTAACCCTATTCATGACCAAGGATGACAAACATATAATGGAAATTATGGAATTTTCGGAACCACGAAGAAGTTGGCTGATCGACAGTGAGGTATGCTCAAATGGTCATATTTACATGACCACCAATATTGATGCCACCTTTCTCGCCCTGCATCATCTGCGCAAACATTGTACAAAGCGGGCTTTGTCACTGGATAGCATACACGATGAAGAGGATCCCACGGCAGCGAGATTTTTAAATAATTTCATTGAGCCGGATAATCTCAAATGTATAGCCGATGTCAAGACGGCTGGTGGTGATAAATATTTCAAATATAATCATGAAAAATGCCTGGCATGGCTGTCGTTGAAAACCAAACGTGTAGCCGATGCCCTGAAGAAAGCCGGAATTTATTGTGGTCACAGTGCCGTTTCACAGAATTTCCAACAAAGTGAAAAGGCCGTTGATGAGAGTGCCCATGAAACAGATTTCCTACGGGTGGCGTGTGATTACATTGGTGGTTATATTGCCCTGGATTTGCACGATGAGTTAACCAAACATCTGAATATACCATCAGAAATACAAGCAATAAGTGAAGAGAAGAAATCGACGGCCGCCAGCACGAAGAGAAAATCTGGTGACAAACTTAAAAACGAGGGAAATAAAAAAATAAAATTAGAAAATGGAGCAGCAGCAAAATTAAAGGGTTCCTCGCTGTTAGATGACTCACCCGATGACGATGATGAGGAAGAAGAAAATCGCGACAAAGCAAATGAAATAAAGGAAGAAGTGAAATCACCCAATCAATCAATGTCCGCCACACCATTGAAAGAACGCACCCTGACAGCAAAGGAAAAATCGTTGGCCAAAGGTGCTAAGGGCACTAAGAGTATAGCCTCATTTTTCACCAAAAAAGCACCAGCATAAAACGAACTGATATTTACAAAAAATAAAATAAAATTCAAAAAATGAAACAAATTTTGAAATGAGTTTTTTAATTTTGCCATGGATTGCAGTATAACTTTAATACTGATTAAATTAAATTTTACTTGGAACTGTGGAACCAAACATTTCAATTCCCACATAGTCGTGTACACGTTTTTGTTATTAAATTTTACTATGAACTGTGATGCAAGCTATTTAAATTCCCATGAATTTAAACGTTTTATTCAGCCCTTTTGCTTTTAATCCTTTATATTAGGTTGGTTCACGTAAAATTCCACCCTCGCTGCTAACAATTTTTAGTTGAAAATTTCCTAATCAGCGTGGCTGGATACAATTAGCAATAGAAAATTTCGTATTCAGCATAGCTAAACATAATTTTCAGTAAAAATAATCCTATTCAGCTAGGCTTAATACAAATTCCAGTAGAAAGTTTCCTATTAAACATGGCTGAATATAATTTTCCTTGCCTGGCTGAATAGGTCATCCTGGCTGAATGGAATTTTTAATAAATAATTTCCTTTTCAGCCTGGCTAAATACAATTTTTCGTACAAAATTTTTTATTCAGTTGGGTGGAATATAATTTTAAATAGAAAATTTCCTATTCAGCTTAGCTGATTATAATTTCAGTACTGAAATTTCTAATTTTCTCCGGCTGAATACCATTTTTGTTAGCATACCTTCTATTCAGCCTAGCTTAATACAATTTATGTTAGGAAATTTTAAATTCAGCTTGGCTGAATACAATTTTAAATAGAAAATTTCCTATACAGCGTGACTAATTATAATTTACAATACAGTTTTTGTTTGAAATTTCTAATTCAGCTTGGCTGAATATAAATTTCGTTATGAAATCTTCAATTAATACTGACTGAATATAATTTTTGTTAGAATATATTATGTTCAGGGTAGCAGAATACAATTTTTGTTAGGAAATTTTCTATTCAGCCTGGCTGAATACAATTTTCATAACAAAATGTTGAATTCAGCTTGGCTGAATATGATTTCCGTAAGAAAAATTACATTTAAACCCGGCTGAATTAAATTTTAGTGAGGAAATGTTCAATTACACTTGGCTGAGTACAATTTTTGTAAAGAAGTCATCAATTCAAAAAAGCTGAATAACACGTCTATCGGGAAATTATTCATTTGGCCGGTTTAAAATTTTTTTCGTGTCACATTTTATTTTTCCGTTTTACCTCCAACCACCCTAATGTAACGTGCATGGAGGTAACACAATTAATTTTGTTGTATTCCCCTGTGGCAACAAAGTCTGCATTTGGGTATACGCAAGGGTGTAATTGGAATGTCACACAGTTGCACCTTCCACGCTGGGCTCTATTGTTGTCACACTTATCTTGGCCAGCTATAAAAGCCGAAACAAATTTAGAAAAATGTTTTATAGCCTCGGTGCGCGTTATTACGAACAGTTCAAAATGTTTATAGCTGAAAATGGTGCGGTTCATTTTCCACAACCTGATCCGGATTACCTATCGTTGCCAACACCACCGGCACGACACATGAGTATAACGTCGCAAGCTCTCAGTGATGTGCCAAGTGAAATTATTATTAAATCCCGTATCAAATATGGTACAAGATGGTCGGCCTGTCAAGGACTTATGGCTGAATATTCGAAAAGTACTTCCGTGCATGGATTACGTTATATTTTTGAAGTACATCGGCCGTTTTATGAAAAGTGAATACAACAACAACTGAAAATGTGACAAAATTACAAATTTTTATGTGTGTGTGTTTGTGTCTATTCCTAGATTTTATTGGATTGTCCTGATGCTGATCTCATTTTACTTTGCCATGTCCTTGATGTGGGATACCTATTTGAAATGGTTGGATTCACCGGTTATTTTGGGCTTCGATGAAACCCTGGTGCCAGTTAGTAAAATACCCTTTCCCACCATCACCATTTGCCCGGAAATCAAAATGAATCGTGATGAAGATTTTGATTTTACAAAAGTTGCCGAGAAGATCCAGTCCGAAATCGAGGAATACGAAAGTTTTAAAAATGCCGGCAATTTAACCGATGAAGAGTAAGTGGATCCATTAAAAAAATAATAATAGTAATGATTTATTTTTTATTTTCAATAGAATTCAAAAATTCGTGGCAACACTGCAAATCTGTGAAAGTGAAGTTTTGGATAAATATACTCCGTATATGCCCAAAAACCTAGAGGTAGATGTACCCCAAACCCTGGTGGATTTGGCATTGGTACCCAATACCACATTGCCGTTTTGTAAATGGAATGGCCGTTTCTATTTTTGCCATTACCTCTTTAAATATGTCCTGACCGATGAGGGAATTTGTTATCAGTTTAATGGCTTACATCCCAAGGATATCTACCGTGATCCAAAGTAATTCAAAATATTAAAAACAAAAATATCACACATAACCTCAAAATTTAAATTTTGATTAGTTAGACCAATGTTAGACTTTATAAGTAAACTCTTTTTTCAGCCTGGCTGATTATATTTTTTTCTAAAGAAACTTTTGAGTCATGTGAGGTTATGTACATTTTTCTTTTTTTATTTTTTTTAATAATCTTCCTCTCTCCAGTTATCTCAGCTATTCGGATAAAACCGTAATCAATTACAATAATTATTTCGACACGGAATTGCCGCAATATAAAGATGTGACCGGCAATTGGTCTCTGGATGATGGTTATGTTGATCAAGGCTTCAATGCCTATCCGCAAAGATCGGTTTTGTCATCGGCCCGTAATGGTCTGTTTGTTTTTATGATGGGCTTTGAACATAATTTTGATTATACCTGTCGGACCTTTAAACAGGGTTACAAGGTAGGTTTACGATTCGATTATACTTAATACTCATCGGTAATATATATTTTTTCAATACAGGTTTTTCTCAATTCGCCTGAAAGTGTACCGCTAACCACAGGCAATTACATTTTGGTATCCCATGACGATGAGGTTTTGGTTTCAATTTTACCACAATACGTTACGTCCACAGAAAATTTACATCAATTTGGGCCAGATAAGTAAGATTTTCAGAGCATAAGCTTGGCTGAAAAGAAGTTTTACCATAAAAAACATTATTCAGCCGGGCTGAATCGAATTTTCCTAAAGAAAAAAATATTCAGCCAGGGTGAATTGAAGATTAAAGCTTTCCTATAGAAAACCTTATTTAATCAGGCTGAATTACAGATTTCCTATAGAAAACATCCTTCAACCATGCTGAATTGAATATTATCTATAGAAAACGTTATACAGCCAGGCTAAATTGAAGATTTGCTATAGAAAATCTTATTCAGCCAGGCTGAATTGAAGATTTGCTATAAAAAACCTTATTCAGCCAGGCGGAATTAAAAATTTTCTATGGAAAACCTTATTCAGCCAGGCTGATTTGTAGATTTCCTATGGAAAACCTTATTCAGCCAGGCTGAATTGAAGATTTCCTATGGAAAAACTTATTCAGCAAGGCTGAATTGAAGATTTCCTATGGAAAACCCTATTCAGCCAGACTGAATTGAAGATTTCCTATTGAAAACCTTATTAAACCGGGCTGAATTGAAAATCCCCTGTAGAAAACCTTATTCAGCCAGGCTGAGTTGAAAATTTCCTATAGAAAATCTGATTCAGCCTGGGTTAATTAAAAAATGTCTATTCAGCCAAGGTGAATAGACAGTTTTAATTGAATTTTAATAAAAACATAATAAAATTTTCAGGAGACAGTGTTACTTCAACGATGAACGCTATTTGCGTTATTTCAAATCCTATTCCCAGAGTAATTGTCAAACGGAATGTTTGGCCAATTACACGATAAGCAAATGTGGATGTGCCAAATTTTGGATGCCAAGTAAGAAGCACACAGAAACAACATGAAAAAATATATAAAATATTTATTTCAGAACCCATGGATATACCAACATGTGGCCTATCGCAAGTCAGCTGTTATACGAAAGCCGAAACTGAAATGAATTTAATTATATCGAATCAAACTAAACAGAAATCTGTGGATCCCAGTGTTGAAATAATGTGTGACTGTATACCATCTTGTAATTCGCTGGATTATAATTTTGAAATATCGCGTTCCTATTATGATTTTGAAAAGACGGTCTTGGCGCAAAGAGATAGCTATGAACATGATGAGTAAGTAGTATGTGGTTAATGTTCGCAATTGACATAGGAATTAATCTATTTTTTGTTGTTGTTGATATTTTTAGTGGCCGTGCTGCCCGCTTGTCTGTGTACTTCAAGGAACCCCAATTCACTGCCATTAAACGTACCGTTATGTACGGCATTACCACGCTGATAGCTAATTGTGGCGGAATTTTTGGCCTGTTCATGGGTATTTCCAGTTTGAGTTTAATCGAATTTATTTACTTCTTTTCGGTACGCCTGTGCAGTAATCTCCAAAAGCGGCGACTCATCAAGAAGAAAATACTGCAGCATGAAGTGGATTTTGGAGATGAAGTTAATTAGAATCTATTTAAATTTTCACTTTATTTTCGTATACGAGAATCTAGCCCAAAGGGTCAAGCGGGATTCACAAAACAACAAAATATGGACAACTCCAAAAACTTTAAACTAACAATGTATTAGCTTAATAATATCATGACGTCTATACGGTTGGAGGGGGTCAGAACCCGGGTACTTTGAAAACATTTTTTTTATTATAATTAGATTATTTGTTGTATCTACTTTCAATCCCTAAATTCAAGCTACAGGCTTAATCATCTTGTAATAATATCTCTAACATTAATATAAAATAAAAATATAATTTAGTATAGTTATAATTATTTAAATGGTGAAATTAGTTATTCTTATATAAGACGAATTGAGGTTAAAGTAATCGTAGAAATCACTTCTATAACGTTTTAAGGAAGAGCTAAATGTTTTAAGAGAAGGCGGTAAGGTGATAAAAATACTAGAAATTCGAACAAAAATCCGTAAGATTCTTACAGATTAATATTAAAATGTATAGAGGACTGCAAAACATCTAAAACACACACAATACTTACTTAGCTGGCTTATGACAGAACGGTTGTTCCATAAGCCGAGCTTAAAAAAAGATTTCCAGGCGCGTTGGCCTTGTGCGCATCGTTCTTGTGTGAATCTCATCCAATTTGAAAGCCCATTTTCCGAGATGTTGTCGTCTACTTGATCTTTCCATCGAATTCGTAGCCTTCCCCTTCTGCGTGAACCATCACTTGGTTCGCTTTCATTTGCCTTTTGAGCTGGGGCATCTTCATCCATTCTCACAAGATGGCCTAGTCAACGTAGTCACTGCAGCTCGATCCGTCTGAATACGTCGATGTCCGAGAATAGATGGTATATTATGGTTCATTCGACGGCGATATTCACCATCGACTCAGATCAGCCCATAGATCTTCCGGAGAATTTTCTCTCAAACACTCCAAAAGCAGATTCTTCTACTGTCGCAAGCGCCCATGTCTCAGAACAGCTTACTCAGACCATACTCCAAAAAAATTCTCCTCTGAATTTCACAGCTGATGTCCTTGTTTTGTTTATGGCGGTACCGAGGTATATAAAATCGCTCCGAGAGGTATTTTGAGATGTAGCAGCAGTGATTAATGTCACCAGGGTGCAAACTAATGCCATAAGTATAAGTAGTAGTAGGGTCTATCAATCTCGTGATGCCATTAAGCAAACCACTGACAATTATGTTTGACATATTGAGCCGCCTAGTTAGTATATCGGCTTCAACTACAGATTCTTGATTTGCTTGCTCAAAAATCTTAATTGCAGCCTGGCAACTCCGTACAGACTATTTCAAAATAAAGCTCTCAAATTGCTACTCCAAGCATAATTTATATGATTCAAATTCTTGTCTCCTTGTTTCATAATCCTGTATGACTAACAGGTTATTATATCTTTGTGCAGCCCCATGAGTATGTAACGCCGCGAAATATTGGTCATAGACCGACTAGCGAGACATATCTCGACTAGCTGAGTCGATCTAGACATGCGTATACGTCCGTCTGTCCATTGTAGTTTGTAAACACGATACAGACTATACAGGTTATGGACCAATCTTCACGAAAATTTTCATGTAGACCCCTATTATTTTTGGTAATGATCCGTTAATATTTAGGGGATGAAATGGACCAAAGAGTTATTCTTTTCTGATTTTCTTGTCGCTCTAGAGGTCACAATTATGATCCGAATACCATGAAATTTTATAACAGGAATCTTCCATCTCTGTTATGAACACTGTGACGACAAAAGTCGATACTCTCGTTTTTCTCCACACAGTAGATGTAATATAAATGAAAATGAATTAAAATGAACTAAAGTGAATTAAAATAAATTTAGAATGAATTAAAATTAATAAAACAATACTCTTAAAATATTAACATTAAATATTTAATAAATAAATGAACAATAATTTCCCCTAACTTTGTAAGCGATCCTCGTTGTTGTTTACATCAAGTGTTGGCTGCCTGTTAGGTTCATTGGTCGATCAACAATAGAACAACAAACAAAGCAACACAGGCGACACAGGATGACCGTTGGTACAACAACAGAGATGAATTGACTGAAGACTATAAAAGGGAAAGTTCTTCTTAGAACAGGGATCAGTCAGGGAGCATCGGCGAAGAAGACAACAGGCGACAACTCTCCAATTGGAAACCAGGTGAAGAAGTGTCCGTAGCTCTTTAGTCCCTTCGCGATAAAACCCTTGAAGTGTTTGTAACTCTCGGGTCAGTCAGCATTAACTCGCGCCGTGTAAAAACCCTTGAAGTGTACGTAGCTCTTGGGCCCGCCAGAATTAACCTATTTAGAACCCTTGAAGTGTCCGTAACACTTGGGCCCGCCGGAATTAACCCATTCAGAATCCATGAAGTGCACGTAAGTCTTGGGCCCGTTGGAATTTAACCCTCTAAGAACCCCTTGAAGTGTCCGTAACTCTTGGGTCCGCCGGAATTAACCCGTCAGGATCCCTTGAAGTATCTGTAACTCTTGGGAACGTTGGAATTTATACCCCAAAGAACATCTTGAAGTGTCCGTAACTCTTGAGTCCGCCGGAATTAACCCGTCAGGAACCCTTGAAGTATCCGTAAGTCTTGGGACCGTTGGATTTTAACCCTCTAAGAACCCCTTGAAGTGTCCGTAACTCTTGGGTCCGCCGGAAATAACCCATCAGGAACCCTTGAAATGTCCGTAACTCTTGGGACCGTTGGAATTTAACCCTCTAAGAACCCCTTGAAGTGTCCGTAACTCTTGGGTCCAACGGAATTAACCCGTCAGGATCCCTTGAAGTATCTGTAACTCTTGGGAACGTTGGAATTTATACCCCAAAGAACCCCTTGAAGTGTCCGTAACTCTTGGGTCCGCCGGAAATAACCCATCAGGAACCCTTGAAGTGTCCGTAACTCTTGGGACCGTTGGAATTTAACCCTCTAGGAACCCCTTGAAGTGTCCGTAACTCTTGGGTCCAACGGAATTAACCCATCAGGAACCCTTGAAGTGTCGGTAACTCTTGGTACCGTTGGCATTTAACCCTCTAAGAACCCTTGAAGTGTCCGCAACTCTTGGGCCCGTTGAAGTTAACCCTCTGATAACACCTTGAAGTGTCCGTAACTCTTGGGACCGCAAGAAATTAACCCGTCTGTAACCCTTGAAGTGTCCGTAACTCTTGGGCCTTTTGAAATTTAATCTTCTAAGAGCCCCTTGAAGTGTCCGTAACTCTTGGGACCGCTAGAAGTTAACCCTCGGAGAACCTATGAACCCCTTGAAGTGTCCGAAGCTATTGGGCACGGTGTATTTAACCCGCTAAGACAACGAAAATAACTCGGTATTCAAAATCATTTTGAGACCATTGAAACGACCCCGTAGGTAGTTACATATAGTTATAGGGCTAACAGGGGGAGTACTTATCCGGGTCTCCTACAAAGAACTCGAGCAGAAACAATAAAGGATTCGGCCAGAAACAAGGGAGTACTTTTTCAAGTCTCCGGTCTTTTCATTTCGGACTAGTAGAGAACTTATCCATGTATCCCACAACGCCACGGCAAGGACGTATTCATCTAAGAAAATAAAGAATAACCATACAAACAATCTGTTTTATTACTCTCTCAGTCACTAGATTAAAATTTTCTGCAAAACTGGCCGCCGTGAGCTCATCCCAGCAACCGGAGGAAACTTGTGTCATTACAGTGGCGCCCGAGCAGGGACTTGAGATAGTGTAACCGGTTTAGAGGTTCTTCGAGGGAGTTATATTTGTTTATTTACATAATGGTGCCCTCATTACGTGTCTCATGGGCGTATACGCTGCGAGGAGGAATTTGGATGTCAAACAACAGGAACATTCGATGAACTCCGAAGAAGGTTTGCTCTACTGCTGTGCCAAATTCCTCACCCCAATGAAAACACCCAGCATCTCCATTACTTCGGCGCCTACACCATGTGTAGAGAAAGGTGCGTACAAGACTTGTGGCATCAATAATTATAGCCGGCCGATATATCCATGACACAGTTGACACCGGTGCAACGAGCAGTTTCATCAGTGAGAAATTAGCAGCAAGTCTTCAGAACGAGTCCTCGAGTGTTCCAAAAGCTCGCAACAGTCACCTTGGCGGATGGCTCACAACGCCAAGTTTTGGAAGTTGTAGGTAGTCTTTTTACTTTCGGCAACCGACGAATTAGAATGCGGAAGATTTGATTATTGGCCTAAACTTTTTAAAAGAAGTTGAAGCCCGTGTAACGTGCGCCGGTCTTATCTGCCCCTCCACGATTTCCACGCACAAGATTTTTATGAAGGATGACTGGCCATTCAAACTCAGGTATGCACCTCGGAACCCAGCCATGCAGGCAATCATCGACGTCACCACGTAAAAATGAAAAAAAGTGCCCACCTTAGCGACATGAAGCCTTATGTTACCCCTTCTGAACAAATTACAGGTTGCGTTTGTACTAAGAAAAATCCTTCTCATCTTCCCCCATAGATCTCAAAACTTCTATAATGGAGCCCCAAAAAATGCACACCAATGCTTATTACAAGCAACAGTACCAACTTGTTGATTCCATAAAGCCGTGTTTGGTGCGCCTAACAAAACTCACCGACGAGGAATTAAACGTCGCCCTGAATGTGACACCGGTTCCGCAGCGATCAAATCTGGGCAAGAGACGTCAGGTTAACCTGACTCTCTCAACAAGGCCCTTACACCCAAGGAAAGAGCGACGTGATAAGCAATCTACATTCCCACCGCCGATAGAGACGATCGTTATCTCGGATGATGAGGAGCCATCC